GAAAGAAAGCAATTTTATTTGATCAGAATACAATCTTTTCCATATGAGAAATGGAAAGGAAGGAAATTCAACTTGAAATATTTCAAAAGTGTGGGGGTATCTAGTCAAAGTCCAATTTCCTATTCCTAGAAGAATTAAAATAGGACATATGATTGTGGATTGTAAAATTAGACTTGAATAATAGAGAGAAGGGTCTAAAAGGCCAAGGATAATGTACTTAATAAAGAGATTCAGAGGCTTAGTAAATGTTAAAGGACATTTACTTCCTTCGAATATGATTTTGTAACATTTCCTGTGTCTTTTCTAGACTCATATTTTTGAAAGATAGTGTCAATAAACAATATTGGAAGTTAATTGATCTTCTTCAAGAAAATAAACCTTTGGGTTCAAAGTGAATCATTAGAAGGAAAATAACCGTTGAAGCAACTGTTGAAAAATATAAAGCAAGACTTTGTGTCAAAGGCTTTAGATCAAAAAAATTAAGTTTTGATCTTTTTGATATATATACTCGTTAGTAATTAGAATTACATTCATTCATATGCAAAAATTATTAGTGTAGTATATGACCTTCAAATTCATCAAATGAATGTGAAAAGAACTTTCTTAAATGTAGAATTGGAGAAACAAATTTACATGGAACAATCCGAACAATGACACATTATGGAAGCACCCAAACAATGAAATAATTTGATCAAACCATGTCGGCAAATGGATTGAAGAATGATTGAAGTGATAAATGTTTTCACATTAAAATCATAAGGTCATTGTTTATTTGTATATTTGTGATATGTTGACCATCAATAGAGACACTAATGACATAAATACTACTAAATGTATGCTATAAAGCAAGTGAAATAAAAATTATTGGAGTTGCTAATGCGATCTTAGATATAGGAATTCGTAGAACTCCATAATGTTTAGCATTTTCACTGTCTCATTGCATTGAAAAGGTACTTAACTAGTTCAAATATTTGGATGTCAATATTGTCAAGTCTCCTATAAATGTGAACTTTGTATTTCAAAAGAGTGAAAACAAAAGTGACTCACAATTGGATTGTGCTAGAGTTTTGGGAAGCATGATGTATATCATATAGTGTGTGCGATCAGATATAGCATTTGCTATTTTAAACTGAGTCGGTTTACAAGTGATCCCAAATAAATTCATTAGATGAAAATAAATAGAGTTTTGGAGTATTCAAAATAATACTTAAAACCTTGTCTTGCTTTATAACAATATCCAACAATATTGAAAGATATAGTAATGCAAATTGAATCATCGGACGAATGAAGTAAAATTCACGAGTGGATATGTATTTACTTTTGGTACAGGAGTAATCTCTTAGAAATATTTCAAAAGAGACATGTATCGCTAGCTCTATAATTATCTTTGAGCTAGGTGCTCTAGATAAGGTCGGTGAATAAGTTGAAAGACTCCGGAATTTCTTCATAGATATTTTATTTCGGCCAAAACCATTGGCATTAGTATGCATACACTTTCACAGTAAAGATGCAATAGGTAGGGCATGGAGCATGACGTATGACGGAAAGTCTCGTCATATACGACATAGACATGATACAGTTAGAAAACTACTCTCTAGTGGAATTATCAGAATTGACTATGTAAAGTTAAAGGATAATGTATCGGATCCACTTACAAAAAGGCCTAACTAGAGAGGAAGTTAAAAGATCATCTAAGGGAATGAATATACGGCTTAGGTCAAGTCATAATGGCGGTAACTCTATCTCGCTGATTGGAGATCCCAAGAGCTAGATTCAAGGAGAAAAACAAAGTTGTGAATGACGGTTTGACATTGTCAACAAACTCAATCCATTCTCATGATGAAGACAATGCTCAGGGACAAGGATACAACATTAAGACTTGTTAATGAGTTAATAAAGCTTAATGGTTTTAATGATTTGCTAAGTTTGGCAGAGTTGACCAAATAGTGTATCTACACGATAACACGGTTAGGAATAACCTATGGGAGTGTGAAGTGTAAGCCGCTTCAAAGAAGATGATTGTCAAAAGCACATCTCTCTATATACTCATGAAACCAGGAGGTGTTCATGGCTAAAACAAACACAACCGTAAGAACCATAAACAGTAAAGGGTTAATTGTGTGACATATGATTGTCTAGGTATACACCAAAGTTCGACGATCCAAAGGTATCGCATCTACCGATTGACTGAGTATATTCAACATATGTTCACTACGAAAAGTCCAAGGAGAAACCTACTTATCCAGATGCAATTAATTCTTGCTTGTAAAGTACACATACTTCTCCGTTTCTTTGTCTTCGAGTCATTCCCCATTCATGTGCGAGATTGTTGAATTTTAAAAAGGTGCGAATGGAAAATGAAGATTTGCGACTTTTATGAAGAGCTGTGACTTTAATGAAATGTTGCGACTTTTATGAAAAGTTGTGATTTTTATGAAAAATTGTGACTTTTATGAAAAGTTGTGACTTTTATGGAAAATTATGAAATTTATGAAAGGTGACGACTTTCTGAAAGATTGTGACTTTTTCAAAGGTTTGTGACAATAAGAACCTTTTCGCAGTACCCTTTGTTCTCTATAAATTGAGGGATTTCCTCTCATTATAAAAAGAATTCATAGGCTTTTTCTTCACCGACTAATCTAGTATTCTAAGTGTACTTTACTGCCGTTGAGCGGTTCACTGACAACGGAGGCTTTGGTATCTATACTCTGGTGATTGAGATCATTTTACCCTGGGAGGTCATATTCCAAATCAAACCTCGGATACTAGAGGGGAATAATATCCTTAAGGGGACATTGTGAGTTCAGTGGACTTTTTTTTCCTATTAAAAATATTCCAGATTCTGGTACTTGTTTTACAAATTTTAGATTTGTGAATAAATTTCAGTTCTTCTATTCTTTTGTTCTTACTGGTTCATTAAACTTGATAACTTCGTGTTTCTGCAAAGTTTGTTGGAATCAGTAAGATTCTTTAGACACATATTAACAACAATTCTTCTCTAAGAAAAGTATTTAGTATATATATATATTTTTAAATCTGTTTCTGATTCTAGTTTCGCTACTAGTTTTAATTTTCTTGTTGTGAAAATGTTTTTAAACCTTGTTGTCTTACAAAGATGTTCAAAGTTTTATTCTAAGTATGTTTGGAATACAAGATGAATAACAATATTTAGGGGTGTCGAAAGTGCATGTAGTGTTGAAACTAGAGATAATGGGTTGAAATAAAAAGTAGGTTGGGTCATGATCCGACCAAATTTACTTGAGCTCAAATATGTTTGGTTCGAATGAGATAAAAACCTAATTGTGTTATGACCGATTTGCCCTGCATAATCTCAATAATTTTAACATATTATTTTTTAACTTTTATAAAAACAATTGGAATTTCAACTCAAGAATATAACTAAAATAAGATACAAATGGATAGAGAAATCCTACAAGATATAAAGAAGATAGTAATTTATACCTTTTCAATATGAACATTAATGTGTAAGTGTCTTATATGGGTTGAAATTGGATATTAAAATTTTGCTCAATTGAAAATTCTTTAAAAATATATTAAGACATGAATGAGTTGAGATTGAATTCAATTTATACTATATTGAACCCAATGCATAGAATTTGGATAGATTGGACATGTTACTTATATTTGAGCTCATTTTAACATCCTATATGAAATAACATTAACCAACTAGCGGCGGACCCACGTGCATCCGTGAGGGTGCACCTTCATCCGGTAACTATTTAAAAATAATCGTACATATATGTATAGATAGTGAATAAATGATTATATATTTAATTGTGCACCCTTATGACTAAAAGGTGTTTGGGCAAATTGGTTGAAGTTGCTCAACCAAAGAGTGACTGTGCGAGTTTGATTCCCGTGGAAGGTCAATATTTTTCCGAACTTTGAACCTTTTACTCTAGAGTTATACCTTTTTAAAAATGCTTTTCTTAAAACTCATAGAAAATCTACAACTATTGGTAAGTTATTTTTAAGCATTTTTTAAAAAGAAAATATTGTTGATTCTTGTGATTTCAGGTGGATATATTATGTAAAAAGAAATGCAGTGATATTTTCATGAAAATTGATTGGAATTATATTTTGAAACGATTCAATTTACATGTTGGTGAAGTAAATAGATTCCATAAGAGGTGTTTCAACAAGATGCTAAATTTTAAGAATTAATCTCAATAAGCAATCTCAGAAAATAAGAATCAAGCATCGAATTCGTTTAGAGGCTTTTTCTAATGTTGCGAGGTTCCTCTTGGAATCTGAACTGTTTTTTCGAGGTAATGATAAAAGTGAGTCTTTAATAAACTAGGGTCTTTTCTTAGGTTTTTTGAATTGGCATGAAAAAATGCTTCCGGATATGAATAATGTTATTTTAATACGTGCACAAAAAAAAAAGCTATGATAATGAATGCTCCAAAAATGTTTAGGTACCCTTTACCCCCCTCCAACCCTCCCCTATTTTCAAATCTTGGGTGTCCCTCTGTAACCAACTAACAAACAATTCCTTAAATATTTTTCTTAAGAGGTGTTATACCCACCGGTCACGTAATAATAAGAATGAGGAGTAGTACCATTCATCTAACACTATTAGGACACCTTTATTTATTTTATTTATAAAAATTTAAATAGTTTACTTAGGACGGCGAATAAGTCGTTAGGTTACTATTATCAATATGTTAGTTGTCACAATATATATATGACCAGGTGAAAGGAATTTTTAGTGAAATTAATAAAAGGAAGAAAGTCAACCATACCAATGGGAAAAAAATTGAACTTAGACCGAAAGATTATACGTAAATTTAATGGGAGAACCAAGAATGTAAAAACAAAACAAAAAAAAATCAAAAGAGTAAATAATTTTTGGGATGAAAACAAAGGGAAAAAGGCGCATAAACCTTTTTTTTTTTTGGGATAAAGGGTACAACTTTGGTTATTTGTGTACCTTAAATTTTTAGCATAATGAACTAAGATTGCAAAAGAAAAAGGCAAGTTTAGAAGAAAGTAGCAATTTATTTATTTGGTATGTGTGTATATATATACTGTATAGATGAAAAGCTATGTCTAAAACAACCGAAAAAGCAGCGAAGAATAATTGATGTCTTCAACCTCAAAATGGCGTTTATTTGATGGTTGTGCAACAAGCGCCTTTCTTGGCAGCAACCCCATCACTTTCTCACCTGCACATCGAAGATTCGTTTAAATTTTAGCTTCTTTGTTTAATTTGGTAAAGAAAGAAAAAAATCCCTTACTAGCAGTAGTGTGTGTAATGACGAAAAATTCGCCTTTTGGTGTGGCAGAAGCAGACAGGCGGACAAGGATAGGGGTCACGATAGTAAGGACAGCCCAAAGGGACAATATCAACACCAACGTTCTCCCACTCATTTGTTCAATTAACATTAATTTCCTCCACATCAATTTATATATATATGTTGGGGTTGGGGTTGCTAGCTGGCCATGTTTTAGGAACCAGTCAGTATGATGATAATATATTAAAGACAACTACTACTTTCACTCAACTGGACATATATATATATATATATATATAAAATAAACACGACTTTCCCATGTGTAAGCATAATTAAGTCAGATACTTTTGATACTGACATGCTGATTTTCATCCCTTATGGTTGTTAAGTTGTTACAGCAATTGAGTACTCAATATGATTAAACAATAAACCTGTCATATCCTCCTACCAAGTCAATATATATACAGCCTTATTGGTAGTAGATTCATCAGTTGAAAAGGACTTATTTAATTAATTTATTATAACATACATTACCTCACACATAATTCAAATTCTTAATGCATTTCCTCAGCTGCTGACATAGGATCGATGCCGTTATTAATTAAACTTCGGTCTTTATCAAATAAATGTGTAATTGAGACAACTTTGAGGGTTCAAGATATATTTAAATTTTGATCGAAATTGCTATAACAATTTCAAACTTTGTGCAGTACATATTATTCCTTTCATTATTTAATAGTGTACGTTGCACGTATATATGTGTTCACGTGGATAAATTACTATTTATAATCATACAATAATTATGATAACCACGTGGACACATATATAACTTTAAAATATAATATTAAATAGTGCAAAGGGTAAAAAATCATTACATCATTTGAAATTGTTGCAACAATTTCAATCAAAGTTCAAATATATTTCCGATTTTTTTCGCGCGCGTATATATATATATATATATATATATATATATATATATATATATATATATATATATATATATTAAGAGATGGGCTAAAAGAAACATCCAACTGATTCTATTCCTGCTTTTGGTAAAATAATGACAAGGAAATTGGTCTAACTACGCCTACCAACCCAATCCCACGCCCCCCAACAACCCCCAATAAACCCTTCTATAACATATAGTTATTTCACATCTCTGTCTCTCACACACCTATTTACTTGCTATGTCTATATAATATATGTCGTCACGTTAAATGTAAAGAAAATATTTTATTTCAAAATAAATTTTTTAGATATGTATTCAAAAAATCAAGTGAAGTGTGTTTAACAAGTTCTCTGTCTTGGGAAGATGACAACAATGAAATACTTGACAGCAGTATGCCATTGCTTTGGCCACTTCCCTTAACACTTGGCAAAGAAAAGGAAATTCTTCTAGCATTTAAAGTAGAACCTCTCCAATTGATAATAATAATCACCAGAAAAATACTACAGTATTTTCTTATTCCCTCTTCCCACCCTCGTTCTCTCTCTCTCTCACTTTTAGCTTCTTTAGTAAATTAAATTTTTGGTTTTGTTACTTTATTTTCCTCTAATAACTTTTTTATGTTAATTAATTTGTTGATTTTTGTATCCTTTATTTAAATAGATAAGACTTGTTTAATCTTGGGAACATTTCACGATGCTGTTGAAATAGTTTCTTAGTATAGTGTCCAACACGACTAAAATATTAATTGTGTGCACTATTATTTTATATCATCATAGTAATATTTATCTAATTTTTAAGACTACTATTTTGCTAATAATAAGTGATATTATTATTACTATTGTGATATTTAATTGTTTCCCAACAACCTAAGAAACTAGTGTATATAATATGCGTCTTGAAACTATTGACAATACTAATGTTGGTGCTATACTAATTGCTACTGTTCAAATCATTTTGTCGGAGACTTCAGAAAAATAAAAATTATAGGCATGTAAATAGACATGATTACAAATCCAATCCTAAAAATAAAACCTTCATAAAAAATACACCTCAATGTAAAAGAATATTGAAAAGAAATTACAATCCCGCTGAGCTAAAAATACATTTGAATGAAACGAATGATATGATTATTGCGAACACTGAAAAAAAATGTTGAGGCAAATGGGAAAAATTGGGTGATAGATTCTAGTGCTATGAAACACATTTGTTTAGCTAAAAAGGATTTAAAGTCATAACTCAAGTGGAGAAATGAGAAGACATTGTTTATATTGGTGACTCAAGAACAACCAAAGTTCTTGGAAATGCAAAAGTTCTTCAGGTAAAACCTTGACATTAAGTGATGTATTGCATGTCCGTGATATCCAAATAGATTTGATTTTCGTGATATTTTTAGGAAAATGTAAAATAAAGGTTTCTTTCTTTTGTCACATCCGGATTTACCCCCTAGACGTAATCGGCCTTGTCGTCCTTTTTAAAGACTAAGACTAGCCTCTTAACTTACATCATTACATTCACAAGTCGAATTCAGTGGAGATATTAAAAATTTTGATTACTTCTACGTGGATGTTTACATAGACCTCTACATACACATATAATATATATCGAGTATACATAGACCCTTTATATAGGAAGGTTACATAGACTTCTACTTTTATTGCATACATAAGATAGAACATAGTCTTCAAAGATTGTCTCATCTCATAACCATCTAACATGATTAGGAATTTCGGCATAGCCCATACATCAATGTAAAGAGAGTCACATATACGCTTATACAATCCATACTCAAATGAAAAGAGATGAGAATGTAAGAGTCTTAGAATTAAACAACAACGTAAGCTCGATATTGGCATCGCCCTTGGAAAATAAGGACCTACCCTACTTTGATGATCAAAGTATCCAAGTCTTCTTCAAGTCGCTTCTGAAATACTTCAACGACCGGAACCTAAATATTAGGGAAAAGGGAATAAATGGGGTTAGCACACCACTTGTACTAAATATAAGACCATATGCACACATTCTTGAAAAATATTCTAAGAGAAAGGGGAATTTTGTAAAGTATGTATTTTTCATTTAAAAACCTTATGCACATTCAATAAAACCATAATAATCAAGATTACATATTCATTAAGTCATAGGCATGTACATCACAATAACTATAACATCCAGTCTAGTCAATTCAACCATTCATACCATATAAGTAGATACATCTTCAAGTAACTATATCATCAAGTCATATTAACAATAAACATGAATAAGAATACATTTCACTATAATAAAACAAGACAATTACCTTTGAACCCCTATAAAGTCAACAAGTGCAATAACCAAGCAAAGCCCCATAACTTTACTCAATCAAGTATGCCAACAAGAATCGTGACTAACATCCCACTTCACATAACATGACATTCAGGTATACATTTCATCTTACTTTAATAATGTAAACCAACGAATACTCATAAGTGAACTAATAAAAATGTAATATCAACAATGTGCAAGTTCATCATATATGTATCATATATCATTGTAAGCATAAACATACATATGAACATTTTTCTAAGACTCCCCTCATGGCTAACCAATGCTTAGGTAGAGTCCCATACCCCTACCTAGCTAAGTTACACCCCTTAGGTTATCCTAGTTAGAGTTCAATCTTTTAATTCATTTTACCTTTTGGAACACTTTGCCATAACCTACATAGACCACATAAGCTAGTGTGGAATCCGGTGTCATAAAACCTTACACCGAAGGAAGGAGGACTACTTGCCAAGGTAGTACGAAAATATAAAACAAAGAAACTACGTGAATCCACTAGCTAGTATTCCTATGGGCACAACATAAATTGAGAACTAGGAGATATAGTTGGGACCCTCTTTATGCTGGTGCATTCAAGTCAAATCTCAAGAGTACTTTAGTGCTCCTACCTTCCCTATGTGGGAAGGGACACTCCTCACTCTAGTTCACTCGGTGCTAAGCTAGAGTCACTTTTTGAAATGTCTTTAGGCCTTTAGTTATAAATAATAGCTTAGTTTAGGCCATAGGGACTAACCCTTGTATAATCATCATTATCAAAATCTCAAAAACAACTACATGAGTGTAAGTCCTTTCATTACAATTCATATAAGTGATCTTAGCATATTAGCATTTCTTAACATAATAAGGCACATTGATAGTCATCATCATCCATATAACACATACACCTTAATCAACTTCACAATATAGTTAAGAAATTTCCATTCAAAATCGTACAACCCTATCAATCCAAATACAAAGCTTACTCCAATATAACATCATGACTTTATCAGAATTAACCACAATTTGAACTAAACGATAGAGATCATAAGACTTAAGAAGAATCCTTAATAGTTCATCATCCAGGCCTTACCATAAAACCTTAATTCAACCAAATCTTGGGTATAGAACATCATAATTCAATAATCAACATGATGACAAGGCTAGAAGAATCACTACATAAGAATTCAATACTAGATCATAACTTAAGACATGATACTTAGGTCAATTCACTTCCTAACCTAGATCATCTTCTCAAAAACTAGCATGAAAGACTAAAATTTAATCTAATATGTTCATGATTAGTGTAAAAACATCGTTTAATAGCAATTCAACCCATAACCAAGTCAACTGAACAAATCTCAACCTAATTCATGTCAATATCCAACTTAGGGTTAAGGGTTAAGGATCATCATCTACAAACTAAACAAAATCATCTAGATATACCATAATTATGTTAGAATACATGTTAATCTATTCATATTAACCAATAGAAAACAAAAACAAACCAATTCATAACCTAATTTTGGAGATTGAAAAAGACCCACATGAAAACCCAACTTTTGTAAATTCTTTGAATGAACCCTTTGAGGAAAGAGGTCTCAAAGGTGAATTAGATCCCATACCTCAACGTTGCTGAATACTTTATGGTGAACTCGTCCCTTTACAACCCCCAAATCCCTCTCCTAGCAAGTCTTCAATGGTGTCTTCCAAATAGAGAGAGAAAGCAGAGAGAAGGAAGAGAGTTTGTTTTGAGAGTTGTAATTTCATTAATTCGGGTTGGGGTCTTCATATGGGGAGTTAAATTAGTGAACTAGTCTTATTTTAATCCCTAAATAACCCCTAAAACCCTTAATTAATTAGTTAGGTTTTAATATAAAAAGTGCAAGGAAATAAACTCCCACAGACGAAACCCCGTCGTCGCCTCTCACTCAATCAATGAACCATCCCCCCCTTCTGTGCTGAATGATATACCGTAGTTTCACGGTATTATTAATACTTTTTCCTT